TTAAAATCTGGAAATATAAAAACTTCCTAAAGTCTTCGAATCTTGAAACCTTAAAAACCTTATGTCTTAGAATCTTGAGATCTTAAACTCTTAAAATATGAAACTCCTAAAGTCTTACAATCTTAAAATCTCGGAATCTGAAAAAGCTTTAAAAACTTAAATTCTTTAAACCTCGAACACTTGAAATCTGAAAATCTTAAATTATTAAAATATTACATTCCTTCAATCCGGGCTATATTTTAACTTCCTTAAACTCTTAAGATCTTAAAATTACAACCTTAGAAGATAGAATCTTGCAACCTGAAAATATAAACATCCTCAAGTCTTCGAATCTTGACTTCTTAAAACCCTCATGTCGTTGAATCTTCAGATGTTAAAATCTTAAAATATGAAATTCCTAAATTCTCAAACTCTTAAAATCTCAGAATCTTAAAAGCTTCAAAAACTAAAATTCTTTAAATCTCGAACTATTGCAATCTGAAAATCTTAAATTCATAAACAAGTAAAATATAATAAAATTCCTTCAATCCGGGCTATATTCTAAATTCCTTAAACTCTTAATCTTGAAATTTTGAAGTCTTGACATCTTAAGATCTTAAAATCTTAAATTCCGAAAGTCGCCAAATCTGAAAATCTCACAAAAAATAAAATCTTAAAGCCTTCGAAATCTGATAATGGATGGAAAATGGCTGGGCAATGGCCTGGCTGTTATAACCTTCAAAAACCTTACATCTTCGAATCTTAGAACCTTAATTCTTAAACCATTGAAACCTTAAATTCCGAAAGTCTTCAAATCTGAGACCCTTAGAATCTCAAAGTTTTTAGAATTTTGAAATCTTAACATCTACTCATCGGACTTACAGGACAGGGAAGTGACAGAAACCCTCATGTCTTTGAATCTTCAGATGTTAAAATCTTAAAATATGAAATTCCTAAATTCTCAAACTCTTAAAATCTCAGAATCTTAAAAGCTTCAAAAACTTAAATTCTTTAAATCTCGAACTATTGCAATCTGAAAATCTTAAATTCATGAACAAGTAAAATATAATAAAATTCCTTCAATCCGGGCTATATTCTAAATTCCTTAAACTCTTAATCTTGAAATTTTGAAGTCTTGACATCTTAAGATCTTAAAATCTTAAATTCCGAAAGTCGCCAAATATGAAAATCTCACAAAAAATAAAATCTTAAAGCCTTCGAAATCTGATAATGGATGGAAAATGGCTGGGCAATGGCCTGGCTGTTATAACCTTCAAAAACCTTACATCTTCGAATCTTAGAACCTTATTTCTTAAACCATTGAAACCTTAAATTCCAAACGTCTTCAAAAAATCTGAGACCCTTAGAATCTCAAAGTTTTTGGAATTTTTAAATCTTAACATCTACTCACCGGACTTACCGGAAAGGGAAGTGATAGAACGGGCAGGGCCAGGTGCCCGGTGGCCGGCTGTGTCGCGTCAGCGTGTAAATCCGGCCACCGGGGGGCTTCAGACCCCGTGGTCCGTGACATCGCCAAAGGCCTAGGCCCGCAGGGCCTACCTTCAGGTATAGGGCCGGCCGCCCTGTGCCGCCGACCCACCGCCGACCATGCGCTATACTTTTGCGCTGGGCCCGCCCTTATAAGGGGCGAAGGATTTCCGGATTTGTTCAGGCGATTTTTGGCGGCTTTTTGAGCATCTCCCCGCGGAGTCAAAAAACGAGTGTTTTTTGGGGGGTGCCCATAGTGGACAGCATCCCCGGCATCACCTGCATCATCCGCATCCTTGGCTGACATTGATGCGGATGATGCCGGTGATGCGGGGGATGCTGGGGATGTTGTCCCCCCAACTTTGCCGAAAACGTGCAACCTGAAAATCTTAAAATCTTAAAGTGGATGGAAAATGGATGGAATTGAAATCTCAAAATCCTAACGTCTTAGATTCTTAAAATCTTAAACTAAAATCTAACAATCAATCTTAGAATCTGGAGATCTTAAAATCTTCGAACTTAGAATCTTAAAATCTGAAAATATAAAAACATCCTAAAGTCTCGGGGGATGCTGGGGATGTTGTCCCCTAAGTCGGGCCAGCCGAAAACGTGCAACCTGAAAATCTCAAAATCTTAAAGTGGATGGAAAATGGATGGAAAATGGCCTGGATTGAAATCTCAAAATCCTAAAGCTTAAAATCTGAAAATATAAAAACATCCTTCCGGCCACCGGGGGGCTTCAGACCCCGTGGTCCGTGATACGGCCGAAGGCCTAGGCCCGCAGGGCCTACCTTCAGGTATAAGGCCGTCCGCCCCATGCCGCCGACCCACCGCCGAACTTTTGCGCTGCGCCAAGCTGGGCCCACCCTTATAAGGGGCGAAGGATTTGCGGATTTGTTCAGGCGATTTTTGGCGGCTTTTTGAGCATCTCCCCGCGGAGTCAAAAAACGAGTGTTTTTTGGGGGGTGCCCATAGTGGACAACATCCCCGGCATCACCTGCATCATCCGCATCCTTGGCGGACATTGATGCGGATGATGCCGGTGATGCGGGGGATGCTGGGGTGTTGTTCCCTAAGTCGGGCCAACTTTGCCGAAAACGTGCAACCTGAAAATCTTAAAATCTTAAAGTGGATGGAAAATGGATGGAAAATGGCCTGGATTGAAATCTCAAAATCCTAAAGTCTTAGATTCTAAAAATCTTACATTAAAATTTAACAATCAATCTTAGAATCTCGAGATCTTAAAATCTTCGAACTTAGAATCTTAAAATCTGAAAATATAAAAACATCCTAAAGTCTCGGGGGATGCTGGAGATGTTGTCCCCTAAGTCGGGCCAACTTTGCCGAAAACGTGCAACCTGAAAATCTTAAAATCTTAAAGTGGATGGAAAATGGATGGAAAATGGCCTGGATTGAAATCTCAAAATCCTAAAGTCTTAGATTCTTAAAATCTTAAATTCAAATCTAACAATCAATCTTAGAATCTCGAGATCTTAAAATCTTCGAACTTAGAATCTTAAAATCTGAAAATATAAAAACATCCTAAAGTCTTCGAATCTTGAAATCTTAAAAACCTTATGTCTTAGAATCTTGAGATCTTAAACTCTTAAAATATGAAATCTTAGAACCTTAATTCTTAAACCATTGAAACCTTAAATTCCGAAAGTCTTCAAATCTGAGACCCTTAGAATCTCAAAGTTTTAGAATTTTAAAATCTTAACATCTACTCATCGGACTTACAGGAAAGGGAAGTGACAGAAACCCTCACGTCTTTGAATCTTCAGATGTTAAAATCTAAAAATATGAAATTCCTAAATTCTCAAAGTCTTAAAATCTCAGAATCTGAAAAGCTTTCAAAACTTAAATTCTTAAAATCTCGAACTATTGCAATCTGAAAATCTTAACTTCATAAACGAGTAAAATATAATAAAATTCCTTCAATCCGAAAACGTGCAACCTGAAAATCTTAAAGTGGATGGAAACTGGATGGAAAATGGCTTGGATTGAAATCTCAAAATCCTAAAGTCTTAGATTCTTAAAATCTTAAATTAAAATCTAACAATCAATCTTAGAATCTCGAGATCTTAAAATCTTCGAACTTAGAATCTTAAAATCTGAAAATATAAAAAAAACATCCTAAAGTCTCGGGGGATGCTGGGGATGTTGTCCCCTAAGTTGGGCCAACTTTGCCGAAAACGTGCAACCAGAAAATCTTAAAATCTTAAAGTGGATGGAAAATGGATGGAAAATGGCCTGGATTGAAATCTCAAAATCCTAAAGCTTAAAATCTGAAAATATAAAAACATCCTAAAGTCTCGGGGGATGCTGGGGATGTTGTCCCCTAAGTCGGGCCAACTTTGCCGAAAACGTGCAACCTGAAAATCTTAAAATCTTAAAGTGGATGGAAACTGGATGGAAAATGGCCTGGATTGAAATCTCAAAATCCTAAAGTCTTAGATTCTTAAAATCTTAAATTAAAATCTAACAATCAATCTTAGAATCTCGAGATCTTAAAATCTTCGAACTTAGAATCTTAAAATCTGAAAATTTTAAAAAAAACATCCTAAAGTGATCGAATCTTGAAATCTTAAAACCCTTATGTCTTAGAATCTTGCGATCTTAACTCTTAAAATATGAAATTCCTACAGTCTTAAACTCTTACTCTTGAAATTTGGAAATCTTGAAACCTCAAGATCTTAAACTTACAACCTTAGAAGATCGAATCTTACAATCTGAAAATATAAACATCCTAAAGTCTTCGAATCTTGACTTCTTAAAACCCGAATATCTTTGAATCTTCAGATGTTAAAATCTAAAAATATGAACTTCCTAAATTCTCAAAGTCTTAAAATCTCAGAATCTGAAAAGCTTTCAAAACTTAAATTCTTTAAATCTCGAACTATTGCAATCTGAAAATCTTAACTTCATAAACAAGTCAAATATAATTAAATTCCTTCAATCCGGGCTATATTTTAAATTCCTTAAACTCTTAATCTTGAAACTTTGAAGCCTTGAAATCTTGAGATCTTAAAATCTTAAATTCCGAAAGTCGCCAAATCAGAAAATCTCCGAAAAATAAAATCTTAAAGCCTTCGAAATCTGATAATAGATGGAAAATGGCTGGGCAATGGCCTGGCTGTTATAACCTTCAAAAACTTTAAATACCTTAATTCTTAAACCATTGAAACCTTAAATTCCGACAGTCTTCAAATCTGAGACCCTTAGAATCTCAAAGTTTTTAGACTCTGAAAATCTTAACATCTACTAATCGGACTTACAGGAAAGGGAAGTGACAGAACGAGCAGGGCAGGTGCCCGGTGGCCGGCTGTGTCGCGTCAGCGTGTAAATATATATTACAGTGTTAGCAAACATCGCGAACATTGCTCCCATCTGCTGGAACCTGTTGCAAGTCCTGCCACCGGATCAATTGATAGCGGATGAACCTTCGAAGTAATTAGCCGGATCTCTACTGGTTTCAGGCCGCAATCAAGCAAGGCCCACCCTTGCAACCACGAAGACCGCTCTGACAACGATCATGACGTCATGGCTTGCCCTCTCTTCCCTGGTGAGGCATTCCTCCCCCAAGCCCAAGCCTCCGCCAGCTTCGCGCTCTCCAAGGACTGCTTCTGCTGGAGCTCCCGAACCTTTGCCTCCGACTGCACCCGCTTCTCCTGACTCGAAGCGAGAGGCACGGAGGCACAACAAAAACCGACTCTCAGAATCTCTCAGACTTACAAAAACGAGAGGTCAACTTACAGATGCCTTCAAAGGAGTTGTTTCCTGGCGCACTCGTCAAAAACATCCATGGTTCGTCCTGCCGTAGCGTCCTAAACTAGTGTTTTCCCAAGCTGTGAAGGCACAGCACGGGAATATGAACGTCATGCAACGAAAATAGATAGAGGCATGCCAACGGTGGGGATGGGACAACAATTTTTGACCGTGGCTGGCAGTGGCTGGGGTCAGATGATCCATTCTCCAACTTGGAACGCATGTTGTGGAGGATGGTGTTCTGGCTCGACGACAAATTCTTTGCGTCTTTGGCGTTACAGGGTCGATGACATCTCTCAATCCTGAACTAAGTAGGGTCCATGATGCATTCAGAAAGGCAGAGCGCGGACTCGGTAAGAACCTCCATACGGCCTTCGTTGGGATGGGGCAGGCCTCTTCATGTTCCATAATGAGTCTTCGGTTGGTGAGTCTGTTCGGCCTCCAAAAGCCCCCTGGTGCCCGGGTTGGTTCCGTGACGACTTACCCAAACGGACCGAGCACATCAACCCTGTCCTGCTCATTCTCAAGCGCCTCCTGCCCGCAAAATCTCTGTTTTGACGGACAGATCAGGGCTATTCCTTCCGGAACAACAATGATCTTCGAACAGCGGCAGAGCTTCCCCAAGAACGGTGGACGTTCATCAGGCAAAGAACAAAGTTAGAACGAGAACTCATGTTCCCAATACAATGTTTCCAAGCCGTTCAAATTAAAGACCAGTACTGAAAAACCGCAAAACCAGCGTCACAACGTCACACACTTCCACATACACGCATATCAAGCATCGTAACCGCGCATACCAAGACGATTCTGGATAGAACACCCTTTTCATCACAACCCAAAGGCTTACCCCCCTCATCCGACGCAACAACCAGCTACGACAAGGCATACATTTGTGAGCTCTGCGATCAACATGGATCGCTTTCGGGGGGGGGGGGGGCGGGCGGGCGGGCGCGGCAAACTGTCTGCCAGCCTCGAGCAGCTTGGTCCGATCCTGCAGGGGTGTGGAAAGAAGCAGCTTGCCTAAGCGGGACTCTGAAAAGGGGCCAACGGATTGTCTGCCGCTGACATTTCACAATCCTTTCGGAACCACGAAATAACACATGTCACAACGCAAGCGTGTTAAAACCAATTGTAGCCCCAAGTTGCCTCCCCCGGCCTGCAAGCCCGCATTCTTTCCCTCCACCTGCGCTAGTCGCGTCCCAGTCTCCGACAGCTCGGCTTGCAGGGCCTGCGGAGCAGGGGCGAAGGGTGGGGGCTACGCTGTGACTGTCGGAACAGATGCCGCCTAGAAGGACTTTTGACCCAAGTTTAGGGCTTGGAGACATCACGGAACCAATGATCTCAGTGCGGAACCCTCCAGGCTTCATTTTGAACCCACACGTGCACAAAGGTTTTGGCCTTGGTACACAACCAGCGCCTTCCGGAAAAAAAAAGTAACAATCATATTGTTTCATTTCGGAACTCTGCCAAGCTTATCGAACGAATCAAAAAACCACAAAAGTCAATGTGGCACATGCGCCTCATCCAATGTGGCGCGGCTCAACAAAAGCTGCTGACCCAAGTGACCCAGGGTGGCCTGCTAACCACACCTGAAACTTTTGGCAAGAATCAGCAAGCTAAGCTAATTATTAAACTGGAAGTCGCAGCGGCTCTCTAGTTCTCTCGGGGCATCATCGTGTCCACAAGAAAGACACATGTAGGAAAGTCACATGTTGCTTGCCCAGAGACTCCAGCGAAATGAATAATAGCGCTAGTTTGTGCTAGGATGTTAGGCATCCATCTAACCTGGCCTTGAGCTCCTGTTCCAGCTGCTCCGCTTCAGTCTTCATTTGGTTGACTTGGACATGGGCCATGTCCTGACAGCACAAACATGTTTTGCACAAATTGGACCCATGTCAGCCACCCGATCGAATAAAAGATACGGATGGATTCATAGATTCCTCATGTTCCTTCATGATATTACTTTTGAAGCCTTTTTGGCAACACAACTGCTCAATTGGGGAAATTCCTTCCCTGTTCTCCAAAGGACATGCGCGCCTTATCAAGACAACATTGTTCGGCAAGGAAAGTACTGTATAGAGTCTGCCAAATGGTCTGCAAAGGGTAAGCTGTCCATCGCTGGCAGACCCTCCAGTTTTGGTGTTCGTGGGTGTGAGGGCGCCTTGCAGTCTCCCAGAAAAAAAGGTCTTTCTAACCCTTGCTGTCAGCTTCTCTCTTTCTGGAGCAATAGACCGGCTGCTGACTATTGCTGGTCCTTCTCAGAAGCTGTGGCGGTGAACTGCTCAGACAGGGCCTCCAGCTGCTTCTGCAAATCCTGGAGGCACATTGAGGTAGGAAGCCCGAGTGCCCTCGCCACGGTCACGCGCCTGATTCGGAAGCTTGAAACCCGAATTTGGAAACTTGGAACTCGGAATTGGAAACTTTGCGCGCTGATTCAGAAACATGGTTTCGAAAACTACTCGCACAAACTTGAAAAGCTGCGGACAGCTTTTTGTAAGCCTAAGCATATTACTGGCAACCAGAAAATGAAACATCACTGGACATCCCCTCCGCTTTTGGCACAGATTGTTCAAAGCTGGAACCTTCACTCCCAGAAAATTCTTGAGCGGGTGCTCTTGTGAGCGGGTGCTCTTGTCACTTGAGCGGGTGTTCTTAAGTGTTCTTTCCATTTGGCCAGCAGATGTGCAGCACTGGGCGGGTGCACTTGAGCGGGTGTTCTCATCACTTGAGCGGGTGTTCTTTTCAATTGACCAACAGAGCTCTGGGCGCGTGCACTTGAGTTTGGCAAGCAGATATGCAGTGACGCGCGGGCGGAATTGAGCCGGTGTCCTTATCATTCTGCTGCCCTCGGTGCATTGCTGAGTCTGAGGTGGGCGGGCAAATTGTGTTACAAGACCAAGTTGCAAAATGGTGGCACCCAAGTGACTGAATCCAGTCAGGGCACCTCAGTGTCCGGTTCGGCCCTACCAAGTTTCCAACTCGGAGCAACCAAGTTTCAGCCAAGTTTCTGAATTGTTGCCCGAAGTATCCAAATCGAAGCTCTCAAGTTTGGGAAGTGAAGTTTCTGAATCGCGACGAATCGGTCACTGTGCCCTCGCCACTGGACCTTTTTATGGTGCGTAACTTGAAGAAGGAATCAATGATTGCTTACAGGTCTAATTTGGCACTTGCAATTTTCCCCCTGCCTGGCATATATTTATATGCTTGCCTGTATGTAATTATCTATAATATATTTGGTTGTGCGTCCGAGATGTCTGACCATGACATCTTGGCGGTCCTCGGCTTTTTGCTGGGCCTCTTGCCGAAGCTCCTCCTCGGTCTTGCGAGCCTCCTTCTCTGCCTCCTGGGCTGCCTGGCGTGCTGACGCAGTCTTGAAGCTATGATACGAATGGAAATGAAGCCACAAGCATTCAGCCGTTCAAGGTCCTTCAAAGTCGTTCAAGGTCGTTCAACTATCCAAAGAGTTACTCCAATATTCGCAACGAGGCCACGAAGTCAGCCTCTAAGACTTTACCCGTGACATGGCGGTAGAGGCTTTCAGAAACCGAGGCGCAAGGGTCTCGCCGAAGCGGTCCTCAATCTCCACCTTGGCGTTTTGCTCCGCGGCGAGCTGCAAACGCAGACGCTCCATGCGCTGCTCGGCCTCGTTCCACTCGGCCTCGCTACGAGGGCTGAGCATCAAAGGCACGTTGCCGGAGCTCACCAGGTCCTCCACGATCCGAGCCCGACTAAACATGGACGCTTCATTTCAAGCAGCGGTTCAAAGGCTATGGGTCCCAAATCTAACCTTGACAGCCACAAACGGAGAAATTTCCTGTATCAAAGCATCGGTTTGGGGGGAGCAGGCGCACTTCGTCTCTGGGCAGGGCTCTGATTGTACGGGCTCAAGAAAGGTGGACGAGAACAAAGCAGGGGAGAGAGAGAGAGAGAGAGAGAGTTGCCAGCATGAGTAGCAAAGGGAAACGAGGCACAGGCAAACAGGAGAGTCCTACACTATCTTTACCAGGTCAGGCAAAGGATCTTCAAGGTTCAAAAGGCCTGACAGGTATCTCCATCGCACAAGACATCTATGAAAATAAGATTTTCGGCATGGCCTGCTTTGTTGCCCAAAAAGGGGAAAATGGCTCAATGTACCCTAGATAAGAATATGTGTTGGCGGTCAATGCCAGATAGGCCACGCTGCGTTAAACCGCTGATGGCCATTGGTATCAAGCGTGACATTCTCCATTTGTATAAATCTCCGGTGTGACACCCTGTGCTTGATGTTTCGCTCCCTGGCGTTTACTGTCGCTCCTTGAAACCCTTTGCACGGTGCGCCGCTTTCTTCAACTCCTTCCACCAGCGCTCCGCTTCTTCTTCGGTCTCCAAACGAAGAGCTAACAACCTTGGCTCGCTCCACAGGTGTCCAAGCTCTGGGGATCCATCCATCCAGCAACTAATTTGAAATTCTGGGAGCGAAAAAAGCAGAACAGTCACCCATTTGTTGCAACGATATGGCAAAGGTGTCCATTCTCCCACACCTGTTTGAGGCTCTCTAAGTTTTGCTTGGCTTCCTACATGGATGAAGCAAAAGCATCGTTGAAGCAGCACAAATCCTCCCTCGACTTCCCCGAGCTAAAAGCAACCTTGCGAATGTTGGTCAAATGCCCCCCTTGCTGGAGCTGCATCCCCTCACTTGACTTTGGTTCACCTGGACGCGATCAACAACGTAGGCCGCAGAAGATTTGCAGTTGGGTCCTTTTGACAAAAACCTTTTGGGTTTCCGAAATCGCAGTCGCTCGCAAACCGTCGCTCGGTCCGCTTTCTGGGGACGAAGGGCGGGCTGCCAGGGGCCTCGATGCAGACGGTGCCCTGGGCGCGGAGCTCCACCGAGGCGCCGTGCAGCGCAACCGCGGCCTGCGAAACGCAAACGGGAGGGACGAAGGCTGACGAATTTGACAAGATGCTTATATGTAAATATAAGTATATGTATACAATGTATGAATGTATTCATGTATTGTATGTGTCTCTCTTTCTTTCAGTCTTTCAGTCTTTCTTTCTTTATTTCTTTCTTTCTTTCTTTCTTTCTTGCCTTCCTTCCTTCCTTCCTTCCTTCCTTCCTTCCTTCCTTCCTTCCTTCCTTCCTTCCTTCCTTCCTTCCTTCCTTCCTTTGTTGCTTTCTTTTGCTTCTATCCTTCCTTTTTTCTTTCTGTCTTCTTGTTCTTTGTTTTTGTCTCTCTTCCTTTCACTCTTGCTTTGCGTTTCTGTTATTGTCTTTCTTTCTCGCTAACTCTGGATAAACCAAGGCTCGCGAAGTGCCTTACACACCATGTATCTTCAAGTGTTGTATCATGTTAAGCTAGACTCTCTCAAACGTCTTTTGTTCTTGGATGTACAATTCACACACAACGAGTAGTTTTTCGACATACCCTATGTATGTACGTATATATATATATATATATGTATACATACATATAGCTGCTTTCATATGTACTCGGACGGGCTTGGGTGGGTGGTGGGTGGGCGGATCATTTGCGACCTCCAGTATGACAGTATCCACCTCCATCCGACCCACTGAGTCTCTCAAGTGCGTCCCATGTTGCCATATCGTTGGGTTAACCTTGTGTTGGTCATAAACAGCCCTGAAGCGATTACTTTGAAAGCACCCCAATCCCGTCCCAGTTCAGCGTGTAGATGGTGGGGGGGGGGGGGTCCTCCTGAATCCTTGTCAAAGCCGCAGGCTTTTGGAGCCTGTGTTGGCAGCTCAAAAACTTCGGCTTACAAAACCTGCAGGTGTACAGTGTTTTCTTGCTGATGTTGCTGCTGTTGCTGCGAACGAACTGCATTTCGTCCAGGCGCCCGAACGGGGGGGGGTGCCTTAGATTGGCAGGTGCTGGTGTTTGGCATGGATGCAAACAGCCCTGAATATCTGCAAATGTATGTCGTTCTCGAGTATGGGTAGACACACAGTTGTTCAAACATGCCTCAACATTCAAGCAGTCAGCGCTTTTGGTCGCAGGCATGTTCGTCCCCCTCTCCAGCATCCCCAGTGCTAGTGTCAGGTGATGTTGGTTAGGTGTACTCTTTGACTGAAAAATACAGGGGAGGGAGCTCTCTTGGGTTACTCAAAAAAGGGTGTCTTAGAATATGGGCTTTGTTGGGACTCAAATTCTAGGGGCTGCAAAGAACCTGCATTGTTCATTGTGTGTGCTTGCAACTAACGCAACAAAAGCCGCTAACAAATTTGGACAAAGCGACACGCTTCGAATCATCGTGGGGTTCCATGCTAGAGGCAAATGTGTTGGGCACGTACGTGCGGTTCCGCGATCAACCAGAAAAGCCTTGGAGTGTCTGTGAGAAATGTTTTGGCGAAGCAAGCCTAAATGAACCAAGCCGCGAGGGGATCACCAAGACAAACCATGGCGCGCCTGCTGCTTGCCAGCACGCTGGATGAGCAACAGGTCGCCATGCAAGCGGGCGATGCACTTGGCCGGCCAGAACTGCCTGGGGAGGCTGGGCCGTAGGCTCATGTTGATTTATGGTGCCTAGAATGCTGACTGCATCTCTGCAATGTGTAGACATATAGATGTGTATGCTGAGCGCCTCTGTCTGTGTGCTCGATCTGCAGGTCCTTGCATATCATGCCTGTCTGTGTCCTGTCCCATCTGCAAATACAGATCCACTCCATTTTTTTGAAATAGACGTTCTAGGAAGGCCGTTACTAATTCCTACTCAAATTCTACTTAACGTTAATCAACATTATTTTGGAGAAGGAGTTCTGATTGAAATTGAATCTAAAGTTAAAAGCTCCTGGTAGGGCTATTGCTAACATTGTTTTTTGTAAAGTTCCTCATTATAAGGCCTCTTATGAAGCTCCTGATTAAAGCTCCTGGAAAGGTCCCTTTCAAGGCTCCTTATACCAAGTAGGATTTTGACTGAAAAGAGATTGAACAAATTGTGATGAGGAAACAGCCAGTTAGAACTTCTATTCAGAATGAGAATTCAAAGGAGTTCCTTTCCAAACCTGCCTCTCATTGTACAATATGTTTGATAGAATCTAATGGGAGGAGTCTGTACGGAGCCCAATGAGCCTTGCAAGGAGCTTTATACTGAGCTTGATAACGAGCCTGGAGTCTTAAGGAGCCTTGTAAGAAGCCTTATGAGCTTTGAGTCAAGATTCTAAATTCCGCTGTTGAATTCTACTTCAAAAGCAAGAATTTAATTCAATTCTACCCCTACTGCCTTCTGGTTAGATTTTAACACGTGTTTAGTCAACGTCCTATGTGGTAAGGAATTCCAGTTTGCAATGTAATCTAGAATGCAAAGCGAAGCACGGCGTGCGTATATGGTCACAAGGAAAATCATGAGAAGCAAGAAGGGCTTCCAGATTAATCCGAAGTTGGCTTCAGAACCTGTCAACGACTACCCGAGCCAAGAGTTGAGGCAACACCCAAACTCCAATTAAGGGAATCTCTGGGAACCTCCAAAATTACTAGAAGAAGGTCCACATAAAGCCCGTAGTGGGGGGATGCGCAAAAGCTTTCCTCAAGGCGTGTGTGCTTTTGAGGTGTTGTGCTCTCCTGGCCGGACACCGGAGACTCCAAAGAGAACGGCAGCCTGAAACTTGTTGGGAAAGCATGCAAAAACCCACCAGAAAACTCATCCAAAAGAAGCATGCCAAGGTCTGCTTCCAACAGGAATCCCTCTACCGCACCAGGAGGCCAGAGCCTAGGCCTTGAGGCAAAAAAAACAGCGTGCTCTGCACATTAAGATGAAACCCACAAAGGCGGGTCTAATCTTAATGTGGGTCCCCCAAGGGAGGCTTCCTCAAAGATGGTTTGCCAAGTAGGCTTCCATGTCAATCTGCGCGGCAACCGAGCTGCCCTCCCAGGCGGTATTGAACTTCTCCGCAGAGGGAGTCCTCCTGCAATGTCCGCTGCTTATCTGGCAAAGGATGCACAGCTCTAAGCCGAATTCATATGTGTCTATTCATACACGTATATAACATGTGTAAGTGTGGATGTACATATGCACATGTATACTAGGAGCGGAGAGGGCTTCAAGCTGATAGTGGCCTTCCAAAACCCTCCCATTTCATATTCATCGAAAACAGTGTGTGTGTGTATAAATAGATATACATATGCCATAACTATTGTGTATATATATATATATATAAAGTCAACACGCCTTCTTTTCCGCGCTTGGCAAGTCCATATTTATCAGAAAAAGTTGGAAACAGACATGATCATTTCCGAAAGTGCTCCCTGCACTTTGGGGCCCGACCCTGCCTCCCTATCGCCAAACCGCAAGGGAGACAGGGCCCCCCATGATGATTTAGAGCCCTCTTGGGTCCCTCGCCAAACCGAGAGACATCAAGGCCCGAGCTCTGTGAAAAAAACCCTCAATTTGGCTTTCCCTAGCCAAGATGGCTATCCTGGGCCCAAAAAAAAGGGAGGGCCTTAAAAAACCCCAGCACGCACCTCTCTTCCCACGTCCCCCTTTCACTGCACTTTGTGCTCGCTCAAGCTGCGGCAGCATGCTGCGGCACGCCTTTTTGTATACATTGACAAACGGGTTCAAAAAACGGTGATCCAATTGAAGTTCAGCCAACAAGGCGAGTCCCTCGTTCAAATAGACGCGAGCCGTCTTAGCGCCAACGGCCTTGCACCAAAAGCCGGTCGAAAGATCCGCGACGCTGAAACCAAAACGTTGCACCTCCCCGACGGAGGCTGTAAGGGCGGAACCCAAATGCCTCCAGATGAAGCTCCTTCAGGAGGCGAGAGAAATGAGTGCGCCAAACGTGAGGCGATGGACACAGGTATGATTGACGAGGTCGGCTCTGGCCCCACTGCTGTAGCCGACGCACCACTTCGATCACGGAAATAGTGACGCTTTCAGCGGCACCCTGGCGCTTACCGCCCTTGGTCAGGCCCAGGGACAGAAGGGCTGACTTCTGATTATCATGAATCGAAAAGTGGTTGGGGACAACTGCAAGGAGTTCCCTGTGCGCAGCATGGAGTAAAACCCGAGCAACAACGACAGGGCCATGAGGCGGTCTCCTTCAAAGAGACACTTGCCAACCATGGCACGCAAAACAACTTCGGGCATGGGCGGCTTGGAATTTCTGAGAATTTCTGAAAATTTCCAGGTTGTGAGCAGCCGCAAAGAGCCAGGTAACATCCCTTTGAGTTTGGGATCAAAGTCTTGCAAACTAGCCACCGTGTCGGAGGCAAGGGCTCGACCCGCGCCTGTGGACCACACATGTTCGAGGTATTCAGCAACGAGGTCATCCAAGAACTCGTGCTTCCTAGGCACTTCTAGACCTTCTGCATTTAAAAAGGAAAGGAACTGCATCATAGCGCCTCCGAGTTGACGGCTGTACAGTGAGATTCTTCAGACTCCCCAATTGTTTCCTGACTCGAACTCTTTCCTGCTGCGTGCGACCTTCAACATGCTTAGCTACTTTACCCATTTAGAGCGGCAGACCCGGCAACTTGGGCGGTCGGCCGGGTTCTAGGCAGTACGCACGTACCCCCACACGGGGTGTTGTCTGGTCGCTAGCAGCAGGCAGTTAATTCGAGTGAATGTCCGTCGCAGCTTTCTACTCGAGGACCTCCCTCGGCAGAGAGCATGCAAACAGACCAAGGAGTCAGTTAAATGAAGGAATCTCTTGTTTGTCTTGCTTTTGTTTTCACAGCGCCATTTGACAGTTGTTAGAATTGCCCGAAGTTCCAACACATTGATGTGGTCAGAATGGCTTTGCCACTGCCAACCGGTAATAGTCCTCCAACGCCACAGTTTGGCAGGAACACTTGCCCTCAAACAGTGAAATTTCACGCTGGTTTCAGTCTGACTCTGCAAAAGCAGGTCTTCCTCTTTGACAGACACCAACCCAAGTAGCCGCCGTGCAAGGGTGCCTCCTGATCGGGCCCCTGGGACCTCGACCAGTTCAAAGGTGGTCTCAGCAACAGTCCCCTTAACCACCGGGCCGAAGCTGGTTCAAAATGTCTTGGGGGTCGAACTGAGGGCAGAGTCCAAGGACAGAGAACAACTGCGCCAGTAAACCACTACACCAACGTTCCAACTGTTACCGATAAGGGTGAGATGCTGGTCGTTGAAGCAACGGGGCCGTGTTCAGATTTAGGGGCACAGGTTCGGGCGCCCGTGATGGCCTCACGCTGCTCCGGGTCTGCTATGCGAAGATGACCCTTCTTGTTCCGCAAGCAATTCCCCGCATGGTACTGGTAAGGAGGGAAACGGTGAGAGTCCTCTTGCCACCGCTGCAGGTCATCTGGTTCGCAAGGCTCAAGACCCGCAGGCCGCCTCCCGGCTTGGGCGAGGGCCCAGAAGTGGTGAAAGTAGGCAGTCTTTTTGCCAGCCGGTTTTCAGGACGGACCTTGCCTCAACAGCCTACCCGCCCTGCCAATCCAATCCCTGGGGCGGTGCGTGACATCGCTGCGGCATCAATGAGCCAAGGCACCATGGGAACATCTCGCGGCAGAGTTGAGCAATCCGGCGGACCTCTTGGAACAGGCAGCTCCGTCGATCTTTCAGGGCGCCCTTGCGGTCAGCATTCAAATCTCATACTCCCTGCAGGGTAGACCAATGCTTTACCAGCTGAGCATCCACTGCAGCGACGTCCTCACAGAAGATTGTTTCAGGGAAAAAGCTCTCCACAACACAGGAAGCCGTCGGTTGCATTCTACTGAAACATGTCCTGCCACTGGCAAGCCCAAAAAATCACAGGCCACCCGCAAGGCACCTATCCCATCAAAGAGCCCCACACTAAGGACTTGGCACATCAATCTCTGCCCTGAAGTTCATTTGAGCAAAGGGGACCAAACATAGGAAACGGGCCAGCTCATACTGTACCAAGTAGGGAACTTCGACCCGCTTCCTAGGCGATCCTTCCAAGTCGCCAAAACATGCAGAAGTAGACGAAACCCCCGCACACAACCTGCATCTCCCTTTGAGTGCAACTCCCCCTAGTCAGGAGCTCAATTGCTGGGGAACAATACTTCACGATCTTCTCAGGCTTGGAATAGGCACGCAACCCGGCAATTAGCCACCGTCTTCTTTGGGTGACGAGGCAGCCCCTTGGCTGCATAGCTTTCACGGACCCTCAGGGCCTCATCTGGAAAAGTGCCCTCAATCAGCGTGGCCAACTTCAGACCCACTTTCTTGATACCATCGAAATTGTCCAGGTAAACCCGGTGCAGGACATCCCTCATAGGGAAACCCAAGTCTTTGCGCAGCTCCCTTTCACCGCCAAGAAGGCCATCAGAAATACCAGCAGCTCGATGCACCACGTTTCTGTGAATATGCTGCGCAATCCCAACGCTGTTCAAAAAGCCAGTGAAAACCAGAACACAGCAGTCCTTACCCTGGTAAGGCTCAGGGACTAAATCAGTGGGGACCAGCTTGTTAAAGCCGAGGAAGCGCTTCCAGGCCTCCGGAACCGAGAAGAGGTAGAAATAGCATTGCAGGTCCTCCGAGCTCTCTCCCTTATCTAGCACAACGTGGGGAGAGTTGCCACATCTCCCTTTACCGCTTGACAGATCTGGTTCAAGGGGATGAGGTTCACAATAAGCCGCTGATGAAACTCACCCTTCCCAACTCCAAACATTCCTGAAAGCAAAGGCTCTTCTTGGATATGGAAAAGAGCTTCTGTGAGTAGAACTTCACAAAGCCCTCGGTCAAGGAGCCCTTTGCAGACCTCCCCCCAATCTGCATCTTTGACGAAAACCCGTGGGGGACGAACTGGATGTTGGAGCTCCTTGGAACAAGGAACTCCTCAAAGTGTTGTACATAATGTAAAACGCCACTCTGGCAAAAGGATTCAAGAGCCAGGGTTCCAACCTCGCCAGGAAGGGCACTCTCAATTGCTTTCCGGGAAAAGCCTGAGCGACCCTGACCTCCTCACCGTCCACCCCAGATTTGAAAAAATCAGCGAAACAAGACGACCCTAGCATTCCACCAGCAGTCCATTGACCAGTTGAAGCATTTTCCTCCAAGGAAACCATTGAGGCAGTTCAAGCTTGAAGCCCCAATCCAACCGAAAAAAGGGGACCCAACCTTCTTGACGGCCGGCAAGGGAAGAGAGGGAAGATCTTCCCCATGGGCTGGGACTTGCGAAAGCTAAAGTTCACATCAAATGAAGCCAGCAGGTCATGAAGATCGGCCCCGCCTCAGTTGCCCATCAAACAGCAGCCACCCGCCTATTCCAGGCATCGTTGCCCTCCAAGGGCTCTGCATCTCGGAATGAGCTGTCTCCCCCAGCGAGCCCTCGCAAGGCCCCAGACCAAGGGGCTTCAGTGCGTCTTGTCCTTCTCACCTCTTTGGCCTCAGCCTCGGGAGCCAAAATTGGGGCGTCACCAGCGGGTCTCCAAAGAACCTCTCTATTAGCAATGCCTTGGTTTGGGGCCGCTTTTGGAGAATCCCATGGCATCAGCCTCCCTCTCAATTGCCTCCCCTCTTGCTCCAGGGAGGCCCCTTGCCTCTGCTCTTGCCTTTGCCCTTCTCGCGCCTCTCCTCCCGCCTTTCACGCTTTTTGACCCCCTTCTCCAAGGACTCCTTCTGCTGGGGAACCCCTCCAAGCGAACGCAGGCATCCAGCGGGAGACATTGTTTACAGGTGCTTCTCTCTGGCATTCAACTGCAAGTACATATCTTTCGCAAGGACCGGGCTAAACCTTGGTAGACATGGATATGTGGTCAACGTGAGCGCTATTATTGCGGCCACAGACCCGGGTAAATGTGACGGACCTCTACTCGATTGGTGCATCCGGAAGGGACATTGGCTTGCGGACGAGCACTACAAGAAGTATGCCCGAGCACGAGACGCCCAACACAACTTGCTCTTCCGGGGGAAGCTGATTCCTCCAGTGGTCACGGGAGTCGCGACCACTGCATGGAGAGCGACGCCTGCGCTCCTGCTCTCACTCCTCCTTCTCCTCCGGCTCCTCTTCTCCGCGAAACACGGGAGGGGCCCGCCTCCCGATCAGGGCTCCGGGGAGCCGCAACCGCGGCCGGCGCAGCAGGCGCACTGCTCTGCGCTAGGAGCCGAGCCGGCTCCCAAGCCCAGCGGAGGGGTAAGGAGGATCGTCCGCGGCCCTCCCCGAAAGGATGAGGGCGGAGGAGTCCTGGAGCTCACCCAGAAACTCCCTCAACCTTTTACTCGGTGCAGGGCCCGGCAGACACCACAAAAGTCTGCGGTCCCGAACTTGCCCTGGCACCAAGGGCAAGGCTCTCCCATTCAAGGAGAGCCCTAGCTAAAAGCCAAGCAGCTGCGGAGGAAACCAGGCTCTTGACTCTTTATACCCGAAACGGGGAACCATATATATGTATTATAGTATATATATATATATATGTCAAAAATAATAGGATTAATAATAAATAATCATGCTCATAATCATAATCATAAAGAACTAAATACACAATTGTTGTGGTACATTGGTTAATATGGTTGTCTTGTTATTTTACGGTTATAGTCTGTATTATGATAACAACTATAGTAGACATGCGTGCGGTCAACATATATTGTGTGTTGTGTGCCATGTGTTGTGTGTGTTGTAGGTCTTGTGCTGTGTAGTGTGCGGTGTGTAGTACGCAAGTCCGTGTTGCATATGTATTTGTGATTGTATTTGCGATTGTGTGCGTATGCGTGTGCGTGCGTGTGGGCGTCTGCGTGTGTGCGTCTGCGTTTGCGCGTTTGAGTGTGACCGCGTGCTGGTGTGTGTGTGTGTGTGTGTGTGTGTGTGTGTGTGTGTGTGTGTGTGTTTGTGTTTGTGTGTGTGTGTTTGTGTTTTTGTGTTTTTGTGTGTTTTGTGTTTTTGTGTTTTTGTGTCTTTGTGTCTTTGTGTTTTTGTGTTTTTGTGTTTTTGTGTGTTTGTGTGTTTGTGTGTTTGTGTGTTTGTGTGTTTGTGTGTTTGTGTGTTTGTGTGTTTGTGTGTTTGTGTGTTTGTGTGTTTGTGTGTTTGTGTGTTTGTGTGTGTTGTGTGTTTGTGTGTTTGTGTGTTTGTGTGTTTGTGTGTGTGTGTGTGTGTGTGTGTTTGTGTGTTTGTGTGTTTGTGTGTGTGTGTGTGTGTGTGTGTGTGTGTGTGTGTGTGTGTGTGTGTTTGTGTGTGTTTGTGTGTGTTTGTGTGTGTTTGTGTGTGTGTTTGTGTGTGTGTTGTGTGTGTGTGTGTTTTTTTGTGTCTGGGTGTATTTGCGCTTATTTGTGTGCGTCTGCGTGTCTTTCGTGTGTGCGTACGCGTGTGCTTTCATCGTGAACTCGTCGCATCATATGAAAACAGGTGGCCGGAACACCCTGGCTGCAGATTGCAACACTTCTTCACTGCATGGCATCATAGTCCATCCGCACAGTCGCGTATCCTTTTGATCAGAAAGCTACAAATCTAAAACATGCATTCATTCTGTACGCTCAGAATGAATCAAACCCTGGGGCACAAACATTTCTCGAGCTCCCATTGAAGGGCGCCCAAGTTACCTGAACACCCTGCAATCCGCACTCCGCTCTCTTTGGATCCCGGTCCTTGGAATCCTTCAAAATCGGGAGCTGCAAAGGTGGAACAGCCATCCAGCTGCCAGGAAGACGCACGAGCGAAACTGAACGAAGCGCAAAGCCAAGACGGCTGCTGTGGGAGTGAAAGCTTGGCAAAGGCTGGCAAGCAATCGGCAACTCGCAAAGCCTGATATAGAAGATGCATTGCATTTCACAAACCCTCTATAAGTACACAAAGATACCAGTTGAGAGTGCCATGGTCCCATGGTGGTGCGGAAATCCAGGAATTCTCCCCATGTGGCTGAGATGGAGACTTTTCAAGAAGACCAAAAACAAGATGAAGTGCTTCTCAGAACAAAACAGCGGGCTTAGCTCCTTGAAGACCACCTTGATCAGCATCTGCGGGTCGGCATCTGACGCAAGAGCCTGCTCTCTTGTGGCCGCGGGAGTCCTATTACTATGCTCTACCTGGACTCCTCTACCTTTCAGCAGCAGGGGCAGATGTCCGATCAGCAAGTCCTTCGCACATGCTTGTTTGGATGTTCACTGGGCTGTACCAATGAGTGTCGACCCCAAAAGCATCTTCTCTATGATTTCGCAGCCTAGGGCCCTGTTCGCCTGAAACAGGGAACCCACCGGCGAAGAGAGTATGAGAGTCTCCACCAATCAAAGGCAGCAACTAGAGGTACTTGCCCAAAGCCACTTCAAATAATCAAATACGGGCCCTTTCAACTCATTGCGTGCGATTGAATGACCGACCCGCAGTGCATCTCAATGTTGTTCGATCCAACCCAAACGTTCCACCTCTTGAACTAGCAGTGACAAGCAGACATGAGCGGCATTGAACAAATGTGACATTCTCCAACGTGGGCGAACACTTGACAGGGACTGTTGTCCTCCCCTTAATGCACAATCAAGACAAACCAGCTTTGGGCCCTCGAGAAATGTGGCGTGTGCAGTCTTTCAAACTCCCTCGCATCAGCATCCATCCCTTGTTGCTCACATAACCCTGCTTAACAATTAATGGTAAGTATCCAACCATGCAAGAGAGTCCAGTGATGATATTTGTACCACGAAAGGCTGTTTTTGCTGCAACCACGTGCTTTCGCTACCACGACCAGAAAACGAGTTCCCAGAATCACTGGCAAACCTGCCGCAGCGATCAACGTTTTGGGAGCAGTGCTTGGCTGTAGCGCTGGGTTGTTCAGTTCTGCAAAGATAGTTGCAGAATGCACACCAAAGGGTTCTGAGTCAGCCTAGAAACTGAAGATAGTATACATCCGGCCAATGTACAATCCCTCAACGATCAAAATGCGACTTGTGTACCCAGTTCAACACATGTAACCGCCAACAATTTGTTGGCAACAGCTGCCTGTTGCTTCTCTCTGTCCTCTGCGTCTCACTCTTCTCGCCAGGGATTACACCTTTTAGGTCACTCTGTTTCTCCAAAGGGTGCAAAATGCAGCACCAAACTAAACAAATTGGAGTTCAAGGCATCCCCCACAAGGGGCCATATGGCTGTAGTTGGGAAGCCATGGCTTCCCACAAACAAGTCCTTGATCCGAGATCAACGACCCGTGCTATGGAGCACCCTAATTATCCGCCCGCACCGCCCAAGTGCAACTCTTCCCGTTCCTGTCAACCCTGTCATAGACGATATGTTCCGGGCCCGCGCAAGAGGACTTAGCTTGGCACCGCCATGCATTCAGCGCGCATCACAAATAAATTTACGTGATTTGCCTTTGCCACAAACAGAACAAGTGTGTCTACCCTGGCATGCTTGTCTTTGAGGAAGCGGCAAATCTAGTTCAACGACCTGGCCTTGTCTTCCGGGTTGGCTGCCAGCACCTCGGTCACAAGCGCGCACGCCATCCGTCAAACTACAACTTAGCCCAAAAGTGATCTGGTCAACTGGAATAACACACGTCCGTCACACGTCCATGGAATCCACCGCATCTACAATGTTCTAGTAAAGGTACGTGAAGGCTGCGCTGCTGAGACAGCCTAGCTGGATTTTGGATGCAAGCAGCATTGACGGCAGCATTGCCCATAGTATTCAGTTGCAATTGATTGAGTGAGCGCCATCCAGCACAGCAATAGAGCACTGCAGCATCTGAGGAAGACAAAAACAGCACTTAGTTGGGCTCTAGTAGGGGCTTCAAAGTCCTTTCGAGGTGGACGATCCCATGGAAGATTGGCAGATACAAGATGTCACTCGAACAGCAGCTGATTGATTGGTTGGCATGACCATGTCGCCATAAAACCAGACACTGAACCACACAGCGTGCTCAAAACACTTTTCCAGTATGGTTTCTCACTCTTTTCCAACTTCTCAGCGCTGCGCCTCCAGCACTGAGGCGGAAGAAGTGCAGCCGTTCAACACGCTGGTCTGTGACTGGCACGCAGGGCAACACATTCTTGTTTGTTTTTAGGGAACATGGGAGTGACATGACACTTTCTCGGCGAATGAAGCGTTGCAGGCAATGCTTGGCATGGTTGTTCAACCATACGCGCTACTGAGAACAAGCAAGTCGCAGGCATGAACATGACATATTTGCTGTATTCGAACCTGAACTGGAAGGTAGCACTTTTGCAGTATGTGCTGGAATTCCTTATACCGTTTTCTGCCTCCAATTTCGCTGGACACAGGGGTCAACAAACTTGGCCATTCAACATATTGAATCATGAAATCAAGGTCCAGATTGAAACATACATCCACCTGAAAAGGTTTGGTTTATTGAGGCTCAAAAACCTGCCCGTAAAGGTCGCCAGATTCTGACATGCAAAAATGCATGCTCTTACACACTATACACAAGCAAGCACATTTAAAGACCAGACGCCGGCCTCCCCCACCCCCCCAACCCCCCATTTCCGTGCAATAATATCGCAAACATACGAGACTATACACCTGGCCGTCGCACTCCCAGCCTGATCGATGAGGTCCGTGCACACCATCAGGTCTACATCCTGCAGGTACCAAAGAGGCTGACTGCGGATTCGGCGTAATCTACACGCATCAATTTAACTTCCTGTGGCATGTCCATTAAACCTCTCCCGTGCTGCGTTAAGCCGAAAGCTAAAAGACCCGTGGAACCGAGGAAGAAGAGGTCCTCATGTCTGAGCGCGTCAGTGGCCTTGGCTTTCATCTGGTGCCTCAGAACCGGCTTGGTGATTCCCTCTAAGAGACATTGCTCCAAAGGCAGGAAGTCTGTAAATCTGAGAGAGAGAGAGAGGTTATCCCCTAAAGAGACCTACCTTCTGACAAAGGGGAAGATTTATCGACCCTAGCTGCCAGCAGGCAAACACACTTGGTCCACTGTGGCGCCAGCGCACGCATCTTGTCCGTGTTCGTGGATTCACTGCTGACGCCCTGCGTAGCAAATCTCACAAACTTTGTGGACCAACATCCGCGCGTTGGTCTGCTGTCCTTTGCTCCCTTGCTGAGTCAAATTATTCATAATTGATGTGGCTTCCGTGACAAAGCTGGATAAAGCTTTGTTCGTGCACCTTCCAATAAGCGGTTTACCATGGTCTCAACGGCTGCCGAGTGCTTTCCACCTTGAATACAGCATGACCATCTGAGTAATGCATCACAAACAGCTCAGCTGCTAGTCTCCTGATGACGTGTGACGACAATGTGCAGGTTCCCACTTGTATCCCAGACCGGAATATCAGGCGATGTACTGTTATATGTACCCGAAACGGACAGGGGAACTACGTAAATGGAATCAGAGGTGTGGTCGCCTAATCAAAGCAGTTCCAAAACGTTCAAGGCAGCAGCCCTGTTGCCACAACAAAAGCAAGCTGTCGATCTTGACAACCTTGCTAAAAATAATAGTGATTGGAGGTCATACTGTGAACATGAAATTCAACAAATGTCTCTAGACTCACTGCCCCCCTTTCAACGATTCCTCAAACGCAAGTCCCGCCTTCATGGCTGGCAAAGTTAATGAGCAAAAGGAAGACAGGACCGTTCAGTCAGGAAGCCGCGGGCTCGTTGCGAATTCACCGAAGAAAATCAAAGGTAGAAAGGCGTGCCAAGGACGTGCAAAGGGTTCGAACAAAAACCGGGCCGTGAGGAAGCCATCGTCATCATGTCGTGAGGAATTGTTTGCGCGTTCTGATCCAAACAGGGTGCCTCGCTCAGAAAGCCTTAAATCAATGTCTGGACCAGCTGCTCTCGTGATCTTGCGTGACATGCAGTTCACGCACCCACATGGGCAGCATCTGCACAGCTTGAGCCGGTGGCAAAATCGGCGAGTGGGATGAGTTTCATGGCAAGCTGTTGTTCTAGTGTTTCTAGTCAGGGTACCAACACAAATTTCATGGCCTTGAATGTCCTTAGCCTTCGCAAAACGGCCAGGGTGTCCTTCTGCATCATCACTTTGCTGGCAGCTGGCCTCCGCGCTCTTTCAACAATGTGGACATTCATTCCTCATGCATTGGGGCCACGATGTTTGGTTCTGACCCCAGTGGGCCAGGCATTGATCATAGCTAAAGTGGCAAGACCTGTAATTATTGCAGTCAATGTCTTCATCTTGAACCTGGCTTCTAGACACGTCGTGTGCGGAGTTTCAGTCATTGATCCAGCAACATGGCCTGAGCAGAAGGCAAGAGATGCTGAACGTAATTGTGGCGTGTACTGACAATGCAGGGCGAGATCTATAGAAAAAGCTGGTGACAACCCTTCTTGTTGCTACAACACGTGCCCACTAGGAAATTGGATCAGGCGGACTTTGTGTCTCTGCGCGTCTTTGTTCGTGCCGAAACACTCAGGATAAGCAAACGCAGACCGAATGAGACCCGGTCGAAAGCAATCCAATCTGACTGATTCCCAAGGTTCTCCAGGTGGACAAACATTGGATGTGCAGTGTGCCAAGATACCTTCATCCAGGATCGCAACTGCATCTATTCTGATAACCAAGGCAAACAATTAGCCGGTGCGGTGTTGGCAGTCGGACTGAGACCAAAGCAGCCTTGGAGGGTCCATGCCAATGTGCCCGGCGTCGCCAATAAATGACAAACAATGCTGGGAAGGGCGTACTCTCAGAGAGGAATAGTTGAATACTGTGTGAAAGAAAGGACTTGCTTGTTGACGCGTGGCTAAACCTCAGAGGCCCTCCGGCATCACCAAGTCCAGGGGGCAGAAGACATAATTTTCCGCCTCCAAAGCCTGCTGCACGGCCAGCATGTTGTTTCAGTGCCCTTTGCAATGTCAAGAATGCACCGACTCCAAAACCACCTTGGAAATGTGTGGTGCCACAAATGAACTCTTTGATTCTGGAAAGAAGCTTTTCACGAGGGTCTGACAATCCCATCCGCAGGTACCAAGTAAACAACAAATGTTATTGACAGCTGGGTGAAACACGCCTTGTCCCCTAGGAGAAGCATATTCACCGTCGGCAACATGTTTACCGCCGGGAAGTTGGCGGGCACACGGCCCGGAGCACATAGGCTCCGTCAAGAATACGTTCACATATCCTTGGGCCTTAAAATGAGACCAACACACCTGATGCCGGCGAGAGCATCAGCAAATGGATGTCTGCTTCTCTGTTGCCAAGTTTCGTACCCCAACGGTGTGCATAGAGATGATGATGATGATGATGATGATGATGATGATGATGATGATGATGATGATGATGATGATGATGACGATGACGATGATGATGATGATGATGATGATGATGATGATGATGATGATGATGATGGTGATGACGGTGGTGATGACGGTGACGGTGACGGTGACAGTGACGGTATCGGTGACGGTGACGGTGACGGTGATGGTGATGGTGGTGGTGATGATGATGATGATGATAACAAACACTTCGCGCACTTCGCCAGCGTCACTTGCTTTCCGCCGGGATGTTTGTTTACCTTTTGGGGGAATTGGACTTTGCACGTGATTGTCAGGAGAGGCAAGGCGACCAATAACAATTCTCACGGCATCCTTTCCATTGGGCGAAACTGCTGAAATCTGCCTAAAGTTGATCCAGTACCCCTAGCAACCAATCATAAAATGCTGCAATCTCCAAGGAACCAACTCATAGCTTCCCACTTGCAGCAGATCTGAGAAGCAAGAAACCGAAACAATAGAACATGTATTGCATCGCAATACCGAATGAGTATTATCTGCCATCAAACAGGCAATCCTCCATGGTTCATCAAGTGTTTGCATGTTTGAAGGCACTGGCTTTGCCCAGCGACAGAGTCAAGTGCTTCTGCACCTTGGTGTCCCGCCTCCTGCACCTTGTCCATGGCATCGACGCTCGCTCGCGGCTCCTTCCGGCCCAAACTTAGTGGATCAAGCGGATTCTCAGTGCCCCAGAAAAGGCCGACATTGCGGCATGCACGCCGGAAAACAAAGCTATGCCTCATGGAATGATGCCGTTTGGGAGGCGTCAACATTGCATAGGTCCATGCCAATCCCTGTCAATGCAAACACTCCCGACCCTTCTGTCGGGCATTTCCCCCTGAATAAAGAGTCAACCTGTTGTGTACATGCCAGTCATATCACAGAACATGTTGTGATACTTCATTGCATTTCCCTTCAGTCCTGGAGTAAAGTCACATCAAGAGTGCATTACCAGAGCAACACTGCTATGTATTGCTGTCGCTGTAAGGGCTCACAGCTATCCGACCGCACAGGTCTCGGTAATGTGCCCAGGCTCCACCATCACATGATTCCCTTCAGGGCGATTGGGATGGGCAATCCGAACCTCTGCGACTCATTTCTTGAATTGCATCCGGAATTCCAGCCCAATTTAGAATGCTCATCTTCCAGGGCACGGGGTAGTAGTGCATGACATGTTCTACAAACCGGGTTTGTAATATGCGGCCTTTGCCAAAAGGAAACTTGAGGGGCAGGTGGACGAGAGCTAGCCAGCCCAAAAACGACATGCCAATGCACGGCCCAGTGGTCGCCAAGATATTGAGAATAGCAACCTTGAATGAACACCCGGAAAGTCATTGAGACCCAAACTTGGACCAGGTCCTAATGAAAAAAATAATCCGTAGCCACAAACATGTGGACGAACTATGGGAATGTGCTGGAGGGGCTATAGTAAAGAAAAGGACTTTGGAAATAATCTGAATCAGTAGCCCCCCCCCCGGGATTGAACAAACACAACCCTTGAAGCTGGCCCGGCCCAGTAGAATTGCTGAAGCCTGTCCAGCCCCCTGAACTCAATACGACTTGCTTAAAATAGGCGTTTTCGAAAAGATGATGCTTTGAACACACACACACAGACACACAAATAATGGCCCTGACAAACTGCCGCTCTGTCTGGGCCTTGGTTAATGTAGCCAGATTTAGGGAGAGTCCCATCTAGGCCACATTTAGGAAGATTCAAAACGTGTGCAATCCCAGAGATACAGTCAAGTCAAATAATTGAGACCTGTCCAAATCCACCCGCACCGGAAGATGGCCAACAAACACAAGGCTAATCTGTACGATTGCCGAAGAGGGTTTTCTGAGAGACCAATGACCCACGCCCCTCTCTCAAAGGCTCCTCTCGACACAGTCCCAGCACTGCGCCGCCGCTGCCCGGGAACTTCACCGCAGAGTTGCAGCGCCTGGTAGAAAAGCCGAGGCACAAAACCGTTGAGACAGCGGATCAGTCCAAGTAACTACGTCTAAACGTATATTCCAGTTGCAACGCTTGGGCCCCTCCAAAGGGCTTCTGTTCTGGCCCCTTTTTCTCAGGTATCTCAACGGGGCCCCCTCTTTTCAGACATGCACAAGCCAACGTACCGTTAGTTAAAAACTTCTGCGAGGCTTCCCCTAGGATGGCCATTGTTCCCTGTTTTAGATCAAGTCGAAAGGCGGTCTTTCGTGAATCTCAACAAGCACCGGTCCCTAGCCAGCTACATGAAATCCCGCTGCCTTGTACGGGGAACACGAGGTAGCGTGCCATCCATGTTGGTGAATCCACAGGAAAGGTTAGTTTTGAGCTTTGCGGGAATGCCCCTCCATTAAAGTCCCCACCAGAAGCATTTGTGGGCAAACACGAGGCTTCAATTCACAAAAGCCGTGCCAGATTGCTAGACAAAGTGCAGGGCGGGCACAAGGTCACAACTTTGCTGAAGTGTCAAGTTGCTCTTAGCTGACTAAGCTACACACTGATAATGATGATGATGATGATGATGATGATGATGATGACGATGACGATGACGATGACGATGACGAGGATGATGACGATGATGATGATGATGATGATGGTGGTGGTGGTGGTGATGATCAACATACTAATTACTGTAAGCTATTTTAGCCAGGTTGCAACAGTCAAACACCGCTAGCCGGCTGCTACACGGCCCCTTTGCTGCTCTTCGCATGGGCCTGCAGATCTCGACCATCTGCAAATTCTTCCAACCCAAGCAGGCATCGCCGTAGAGCGTCCTGGCCCAGCTTGCAGGTTGAATACATTTAGCCATGCAAACGTAGCCGTGTCATCTCTGTATTCTTGTCTCATGTCCCACTAGAGGCTAACACACCATTCGTACGCTGCTCATCTACGCCTAGCGACCTCTTCTGCTTAGAACCAGTACCTCCTCCAAATAGCTAAACACAAGCATCATATTCCAGCAACTGACTACAAACTAAGCAACTGCCAAGCACTGGCGGCTTCAGCCCACAGCAACAATGCACAGATATATCCAAATTGGGTCAAAGGTTCTACTTGTTTTCTCCATTCCCGTTTTAATCACCTATAATCTGCACAGATCCAACTTGCGGTGCGTATTTGGTCACGTGTTGCTCCGGCCTTCGAAGATTGAAGTTCTGGTCCATGAGATCCGCCAAGGCTGCGTGGTCGCGGTTCTCAATGGCCGTCCGTGCCTGGCCAAAGCGCTTGAGACAGGTGCAAAGAGCTGAAGAGCGTGCTTTTTCGCTTCGGCATTTCTCATGAAACAATCTGAAATCAATTGAACACATTGGCACCGCCAAGCTCGGAACGACCAAAAATGGCAAACGCAGGCAGAACCTGGCAAAGTCGCTGAGGACCATGTTCTTACAGCGGTCTTGAAGCTTCGTGTGCCCAAGCCTTGAAACTCCCAATCAACCAAGCGGTCATATCCCGCCCTGCTTGCAGTGGTGCAGGTGACCAGTTCCCCCCCCCTTCCCGCTGCCTGCATACCAATTGTATAGTAAAGGGGGATTAGGACCTTGATGGGTAGCTTGCTGCTCCGGCTTGGTCCAACATCAAGGGCGCCTTCAGGGTAAGCTCTCCAAAGTTCTTCATGGCAGTCAGCACCTGCCGCCCAGCCAACGGCACGAGGGCTCTCGAAAATAACATGATTGCACAATTTCCGTTTGTTTTCCTGTGCAAAGCCAGTAACAGCCTCACTTTGGGCTAGAATAAATGTAGGAACGCTCCTAAGACCAATCCAGAAATGGGCTCCTGGTTCATTGAACAACGCCTTTGTCTGCATTCATTTCTTTAGCCGCAAGGCCATCGCCGCATAGGTGATGCTTGCAGCGCATGTTCAATTCATGATCGGCCGACACTACCAACATGGTGTGAAGTGGTTGTACGATTCTGACTCCTGCTGCCGGATGCTGATGCAAGACTCGTCGTTCTTTATCGTGCAATTGAACACACAATAAGCTTAGGGACAATCATAATCCTGCAAAACCTCCATCAATCGTGTCAAACATCAACCGGGTGCTCTTGCTGTGCCAGGGTGTAGTTGGGTGCTACTTAAGGCTGGCTGTCAAACAACCCTGCAACTCAAATAGGTGCAAGCAAACCTGAAGCCTTCATCAAGCCACAAGAAGAACGCGACACTGTCAAGATTATCTTCAAATGGACTCAAAGACCATAACGGGTGTAAAGGTCAACAAATTGGCACACGCATGAAGAGCACAGGCCGCAAAATCCTGTTGTCTACACGCATGTATCTGTGCTTGTGTGTGTGTATCTGCGTTGCGTTTGCATGAGCGAGTGCGTGCTTGCGTACGTACGTGCTTGCGTGGCTGGGTGGGTGTGTACGTTGTCGCTACGTGTGAGTTTGTGTTTGTGTATGTTTGTGTGCGCGTGTGTACGTGTGTCGTGTGTGCGCGCTTGCGGATGTGGTTGTAAGTGGGTTGTTTGCTGGTAAGTGCGTCCTTCGTGTGCTTGCAAGTAGGTACGTGTGATTGGTTGCGCTGATGTGTATGCGTGTGTGTGTGTGTATGTTGTGTGCCTGCGCGCCTGTCTGTTTTGTGTGAGTGCGTGTTTGGTTGTGGAAGCTGTGTGAATGTAGTTTGTGCAGGTCTTGTGTACGCGAGTGCTTGTTTCTATGATGGTTGTGTGGTCCGTGCCTGGAAATTGTGCGTGTCTTGCTATGCTTTGCGAAGTCTCGCTTGCCGCTGCACTCGTGCTTGTACACGTGCTTCTGTTTGTCGTGTACATACTGGTAAGTCTGTTCTTCCCGCGCTTGTAGTGCGTCTGTGTGTGCGCGCATGTGTTCGATTGCGGGATTGTTTGTGTTGCGTTTATATGTTTAAACAATCAGGTCAATGTGAGTGTGTTTCCTGACACCGTGTGTGTGTGTGTCTGTTGTTGCGTGTCTTGCTCTCTTTCTATGTGTGTGTGTGTGTCTTGCTGTGCGTGTGCGCGTCTGCTAGAATGCGCGATATATATTGGTATGAGAGATGTTGGTACGGTTTGTCGGTTTGATAGTTTTGGTTTATTGGTTTGTTGGTTTGTCGGTTTGTTGGTTTGTTTGCTTGTTTGTTTGTTCGTTTGTGTGTGTGTGTGCGTGTGTCGGTGTGCTAGCACTTATCTGTTCGTGTGCTTGTGTGGGCGAGCTGGTGTGTTTTGTTTCATAGGTTTGTGCCGGTGTTGTGTGCGTGTACGTGTGGGTGCTCTTGTTTGCTTTTGGCTTATGTACGCTTTTCTGGGGGTCCGTTTGACCTATGCAGCAAAGGCCTCAGCAGTTTTGTAGCCAATGAAATTGCCATTCAAAAAATGAAAGTCACAGACATACTTCCTGCTAGTTTGCTAACTGAAATGGCAATGGCAATCACATCGGAGCCTCTTCATCTCCGGCGTCCCATCTTGCGCGGATGTTGGAGTGGATCTCAGGGACAGTGGCAAGGATATCACGAAGAGTTCGGTAGCGGACCAGGAAATAACGCCTCTGGCAGCACGCCCATCAGTCAAACCATTGCATTTCGTAAGGGTTGGATGGGCATGTTGCACACACATATTCAAATTTAGCATGTTGCTGTATAAACGAAACCGATCGCAGTCACGCCACTGTTTGCAGAGCCAAAGGGAGAAGAATACATTCCTACAAATCTATATATGCAACAAAAGTTGGCGCGCCCTGATCAAATTACCCACCACAGCGGCATGTTCACATGAAGGACGTCGCACGTTTGAACCGTTGTAACTTGTCAGTACGGCTGGCTTTCTGAGAGGCAAGGACGGACCTGACTTTCAATCCTGAACCTGCCAGTGATGGCAGTTTCCCGCTGACCGCTCAGCACAGCATCTGTTGTCTGAGTTTAAATGTATTGATCTAGGTGTGTCACATTAAACCAGAAATGTAATGTTGCAAAGCGGTGTGGCAATGCTTGATGCAGGAATCTCCGTGAGTTGCACTAGCTAAAAATGCCTCAACCCTTGAAATGCAGCCACCACACCATTAATATAAGCATCATATGCTCCAAATCGCAGTCCTGTCAGCACCCCCATTGCTGAAACAATGATAAAGTGGGAAGCACTCGTGTGTAGACCCAAAGGCATATCATTCACCACACCTGAGGAATCCGTAAAGCCAGGTGGGCCAAACAATCTGTGACTATCCAACAGCCAACAAGTCGAGATTCGGGCTGCAACGTTTGCCAACCAAGAAACTGAGGCATGTGAAATGCTGGACATATTCGCATGTACATTGTGGTAGTTATAGATGTCTGTTTCGTGGCCCCAAGAAAACATCTCCAATAGGCGATGCACTCCCGGTGTTTCACCCTGCGCCTTGCCAGAGTCAGAGGGGTCCGCCTGGCTTCAAGCACAGCTGAAGCGATTCCAGTGACAAAATCCATTCGGAAATGCAGCCGGCGGAACGGCCCACACTTTCTGAACTCATTTGGCACAGAAGAATTTGATTCAACGACCCTTTTGTAGCACGGCCACCATAAGGCACTGTCACGATAAAGAAACAGGCGCACAAACACAACCTCTTCAAACCAATTGGGCTTTCAGACCGAGTGAGCCGGTGTGTTGCAGTATGCCCTTTTTCAGTAATTTCACGATTTGGCATGACAATGTCTAGTGTTGCCAGTTTGTCTAGCTGACTATCTGGCCGGTGCGGCAGGATAATGACACACTTACTTTCTTACACGCAAAAAGGCAACGTATTTGCTAGTGCGTCGGCAGGCCTCGTCTGAACAAAGCTTCCTCACCTCGAAGTCTGTAAGAAAACCGAGGGTGAGGGCGTTCAGATGAGCCACCATAGGTGCGACGCCTCTGCCCATCTTTCGCACCGGAAGCCCTAATTGCTCACCGTGTCAAAGAGTCACCGTGCAAAGCGCTATGCAAGATGCGTCGGAGTGTCTCGTCCAAGTTGAAGCCGAACCACTCCCAACCCTCTGCCTAGGCATTGGCAAAGCAAAAGCGGCTGACTGCGTCACTCACATTGGCTTCGCTACACACTCTCCTGCCATTCCGGCCACCACTGTCTGTCCTCAATCAGAGACCACACAGCTTGAGTAAGCTTGTTAATTTGAGGATCCGTTCCGTATCCCTTCATGAGGCCTTGCCGTGCTGGTTCGTTGTCGATGAACAAGAGAAGGTGCTGCGGTAGAAGACTCTGGAGGGCAACTAATCTCCAGCATGTAGATGTAAGCCCTTCGTGAACTGAGGTGCCTGGTGAACCACATGGGGACGCTCCCGGCAAAGAACCATGTGTGTCCCTTGATTGTGGCTACAAAGCCGAAGCCGTTGCTGAAGAACGCAGGCGCAAAGTTCAAGGTCTCTGGCAGGTCCTCGCTTGGGCGCACTCGTCGCCCTCCGAGCTCGAAGAAGGCGTCGGCGTAGATGACCGCAACCTCAGGCACCTGGAACGGCAAAGTCCTCGGGCCAGCCCGTTGCAGGCGTTGGCGTAGCCAGTTGATTGCTTCCTTGATGGCAGTACTGAGTGGCCAGTCGCGCTGTCGCCGATGACGGTCGGCCCCCGCCCTTATAAGGTGGAAAGGCCGCAGCGCTGCCTGACCTGCTTGGCCGAAGAGAGACTGCGCCACAAACTGCAATTTGCCTGCCAAAGCAGCTGCGTCTCGAGGCTTCAGCTGCTCATCCAACAAAACCTGATTGAGCTGGCTGTCCAGACGATCCACTCGAGCTTGTTGGTATTGGACTCCTTGCAGCACCTGCGCCTGTTTTGGCGGCTGTGCTTTGGAGGCCTTGAACCTCAAACTGAGGGGTGCAGCTGTTTTGGACCTGCTGAAAACTAGAGGTCGCCACGTCCTCTGTCTCGGTGCCCCCAAGATCGTCCACAAAGTGAAGTGTGACGTGATGAGCAAACAACGGGTGAGCCACGCCATGAAGTCTGCCACTCTGCAATAGCTCCAGACACTGGCAACACTCCCAAACATCAAAGCATTGTGTCTCCACAACCAACGTCGGCCCGAAAGGCGTGCTGAGGATCATGAACGTGTGGTTGGGGGTTCTGGCAGGCAACTGTGCTTCGTGATCTACGCCCAGGTGCATATAGCGGGGACAAATCACAATCTTCCCTGATTGCCCTTGCCACCTGTACGAAGGCCTGGATGTCATGGTAAGCTGGCAAGTCGGGGACCTGTATAGTTCTGTTGACACCTGAACAACGCCAGTCCTCTGCCGAGCCGTCGAGGGGAGTCCTTGTCCATGTCACCCCTGTGCTCAAGGTGTGGGAAGTGCTGGACGGTATGTTGGCAAGGTCAGGGTCGCTTTCCCACGCGAGCACCGCCTGGCTTGGGAAGAGGTCGCCCAGGAAGTCCGCACAAATTGGTGGCAGAACCAATGCCGTCAAAGAAACTAAGGAGAATGAGGTCCGGCCCCTTCCCTTCTTTGCGCCGCTTGGCTGCCCGAGACTGCTGCTGAAGAAACTGTGGGTTGGGCGTCAGCCGCACCTGGTGCGGCCCGTGCTGTCCCTACTCTTTGTGGCGCTGTGGCCAGGACTGGCGCATGTCCTTGCCAGCATTGCCCGAGTGCGACCAAGACTGCCAGCTGGGGGCTCAGGCTGCCAACTGCGGGGCTCGTGGTACGGCTGCCAGCGATGCCTGCCGCTGCCCCCTTTCTTGCCTTTGCCCTTTCCTTTCTTGCCGTGGCCCTTGTTCTCGGACCTGTCGCTCGCCTGGTCTCCGTGGCGGGCTCGCAATTGAGGGCTTCCTGGAGGGGCTGAATATCGTTGATGACGAGTACTATGTCCACGATGTCAGCGAACTTGTCTTTGGACCCAAAGCCGAGGGCAATCTTCCATAGTCTCCCAGTAACTCCGCAGCTGCTCCAACTTGTTCGAGTGGACCCTGACTTTTCGCGAGAACCACTTGGTCATGCGGTCGATGGCAGGCTCTGGCCCTGTTTCCGTCAGGACCCATGCCCAGCGAATTGCTGGTGGTCTGCGTTGACCGTAAGCACTGTCGTTGGGAAATTCAACTTGCGCCTGTCGTTGGGCTCACCTGCGGAATTGAAGAATCGCGCCTGGACGATCTCGTGCAATCCAAGGGCCGTCTGCGTCTCCGTCTTGGCTTCGAAGACCATTCTTCCCAGGCGCAGCGCAGCCTGGCCTTCTTGACAGGGAGCCTCAACTGCTCGAACTTGATGGCGTTGGAAAAATCAATCACAAATCCATGTCCCAGAGGCTTGACCACAATGTACAGCTCATCTTGACTTGACGCAAGTGAAGCCAAGATGCCAACCCCTCTGACTGACAAGTACTTGCGGACGTCCTCCAGCATTGCCACGTCTGCCGCACGGGCGGGGGCTCGCTGAGCTCCACTACCTATATGGTGGGGAAACTTCTCATCAATCTGAAGCCGAAAATAGCGAGTGTGAGCGCCTGTCACTGACTCCTGTTCAAAGCTGGCTTGCAGCAACGAATTGTCCACGCAACGGTTAAAGGCTTTGTTGCCACTGCTACTCCGATCGTCACGGCCGGCCCTTGCACGGACCAAAGCAAGCCTAACGCAAGGCCTATGATTACTTGGCTGTCCAGCATGTGAAAACTGTGCCGCGGGTGCCCTCTCCAACTGCTAGTGACTCAAGCCGCTGCTGGACTCGGCCGAGGAGGTCTCTGACTGACTTGCTTCCGACTCAGCAGATGAGGAGGCGCCCTCGTCGCGAAGCTCTGGCCAGCAACGCTTGCAACGCGATCCGCACTTCCGCCACATGATCGGGGGTCGGTCCTCTTCGCGACTGTCCCTCAAACGAGCTCGCTTGGCCACCACAAACTTGGGCTTCTGCTGCAGCCTGCCTAATGCTTGGAGGATGTCCTGGATGCTACGCTGCATGGCTGCCAGGTTGAAAATCGGCTGGTGTGAGGTCTCCTCAGGATGGTCCTCGGTTGCCGGCGGCAAGGCTTCTGAAGGCTGGTCAAGTGTCAAGTCAACAACAGGGCTTGTGTGCGTGATCCTCATCAACCCACCTACACAGTCAACCGCCTCCAACTGGGCCTCCTGGATCTCCACTGCTCGACTGCCCCACCGTCCCATGAGAACGATGAACGGCAGAGGCGCGCCCCGCCTTGCAAGCCACTGGGCAGGAAGGGCATGCCCCCCAAAACGACGCAGCAGGCGTTGTGTCCGGGCCTGGGGAGAGGGATGTTTGATGCTCCCAGAACTTCGCGTATGATGGAAATGGTCTCCTCCTTGGACATCTCCTCATAGTGGTTGCCGCGGGCGTGGAACAGCACGGCCTGGCCGTCAGCCGGCGCCCCTTGCAACAAAGCTTTGGCTACATGAAAAGGGCAATGTGTCTCAGGCACGTAGCTGCAGTAGCACTTGTGACTCCGATGGACACTCTGTCCCACTGTGTCCATCTTGCTGCAAGACAAGGAGATGGTCACGATCGTGTTGGCTTCGTCAACCGCTACATGCTTTACCTGCAACGCCGCCAACTCGATCTCTCTCAAGAGGAACCAGACACCGAGGGTGAAGATGGCGGCCTTCTTTGTGGCTGACTTTGAATCCAACGACAAAGTCACTTGCTCGAACCTGAAACCGTCCTTGAGGGCGGGGCCACCTATCCCGCGCTCGATGCTTCTGACAGCATCCCGGATGGCCAAGTCAACGTCTGCCGGTACTGCTTCACCACACTGCGCGACATGCTGCCGCCTGGCCCGGCTGAAGTAAGCTCTCGAGCTCTTGCAGCCCCCTGCTTTGAGGCTGGAGGCTATGGCCCTAATCTTCGCCGTGGTCCACGGCAACAGCTCCAGCTCCCACTGTCTTGACAGCTTTTGCAAGGTTGTCCACCGGGCGTCCATTGCCTGGTGATTGCTGCGAGCAAAGACATCCCGCTCAAGATTCCGGAGTGACTCCTCCCTCAGCGCGGCGCTTTCTGCAAAGAGCCACCGTTGCTCTGCTGACTTATCGGTGTATCCTTGCGCTTGCGTGTTGACGCAGACGCGGTCCCTTTCACTCCCTCACGGGGTGGGCTCACAGGCGTGAGCTTGGGGCCAAGGGCTGTCAGGACAATGGCTCGCGGTAGCCAGATTCGCCGCCAATGTGCTGCAAGGCAAGCCCAGACCCCCGATCACATCCATTTTTTGGAGCGCACGCGGAACATCAAATTTTGGATCGCGCCAGATGCGTCACATCTATTTTTTGGATGTGACAGGGAAAGTGCCGTCGCTGCGCGCGCTGCCAACTCCAACACACATGGCGTAGCGTCCTAGTCTTTGGAAGCGACCTAGCCAGCACACTTGTCAAGGATATTTCTGCACGGCGCTAGGCCTTGCTCCAACAAGCTGCCCTGAAAACACTCATCACTCACCAAGCCGGTCAAAAGCAAACAAGGGAAGTCAC